TTCCTTTTGGGTTACTTTACCAACATTCCTTCCAGCTCCAGGATGCTTTCCGACCGCTGCGCCTCGCCGAAACCTTCCCAGGGCTGCCCGAGACGTGCCAATCGGCCGCTGGGGACCTCGCGCCGTGTTGAAAATCACGAAGCAAGGTTTCTGGCCATTTTTTGGCCTCGGGGGCCCTGACCCCAAACTAGGGCGGACATCGGCTTCGAAGGAGCCCGAAAAGCAGGGCGGAAACTCCTGCCCTACTTGCAGAATCGCCCAGAGTAAGGCGGGTCTGGAGTCAGGGTAAGAGGTTTCGAAACACTTTTGGCCTCAAGGGGCCCTGACACGGCCCCGAAGTGCTGAGCAAAAATGCTGGCGGAAAAACCTGGTTCCGAAGAGTGAGTCGAAACTTCCTCGGGGCCCACGCTGCGAGAAATTCGCGACTTCGGGGGTCTGGGTTCAACGCAGCCGCAACCTCGAAAATAGGTGCTCGACCCTCTGGATTCTTATCCTCCTCCTCCCCCTCCCCCTCCCTCTCCTACTTCTCCCCCTCCCCCTCCCTCTCCTCCTTCTCCCCCTCCCCCTTCCCCTCCCCCTCCCTCCTCCTCCTCCTCCTCCTCCTCCTCCTCCTCCTCCTCCTCCTCCTCCTCTCCTCCTCTTGATTTCCAGATCTCCATCACGGGCGGCCGAGTGCGGGGGCACTCGGACGCCGCCAGTTCATGTTCAGCGCCCGCGCCGCAGCGGCGGCGGGCGCAGCTCAGCCCAGCGACTCAACCATGAAGTGCGACCCCACGTTTGAGTCGCAGGGCTTCCCATGCCCGAAGGAGACAGACCGCCTCAAAGAACACCAGGCCGAAGTCCCGGCACATGTTTGATGCTCTGGGCTTCCCATGCCCGCAGAAAAGGACAACCTCCGCGAACACGACGCCGAGGGCCCAGCACATGCACGGGTGAGACTGGGTTTCCCATGCCCGCGTTTCCCCTCGTCCCCCCTTCTCCTCCTCCTCCTCCTCCTCCTCCTCCTCCTCCCTCCTCCCTCCTCCTCCTCTTCCCTCCCCTGCACGGACTCTGCCCGAGGTGCCGACGGGCCCACGGCTCTGGACGCTTCGGTGTCCCTCCTCTGGGCTTCCGGGGGCCTCTGGGCCTTCTGGAGGCCTCGGGGGACCTCGGGGATCAGAGTCTGGCATACTACAGTCGGGGCCTTGACCTAAGGAACCCTTTTCGTTGGGGAGGGGCTCCGCGTTCCTTACGTGTTTCACAGCTTGCCTCAGGTTTTCCTTATGTTTTCGATCGGAAATCGAAGTTTAATTTATGGTAAAAGGGGGCCTCGACGGTTGAAAAGAAGTAATTATGGTACAATACTTAATGGTTAAAGAGGTTCCTTTACTTAATTTATGGTAAAATTGACCGAAGTTGATTTAGGGTTCCTTAGGTCAACGCCCCGACTGTATGGTACCGAGCTGCGGCGTGCCATCGTATGGCATACTTACATCTGCGAGTACGTCGTGGCTCCAAACTCGGTTCGGCTCCGACGTCGTGGCTCCAAACATCTGCGAGTACGTCGTGGCTCCAACGTCGTGGCTCCAAACATCTGCGAGTACGTCGTGGCTCCAAACATCTGCGAGTACGTCGTGGCTCCAACGTCGTGGCTCCATACTTACATCTGTGAGTACGTCGTGGCTCCAAGCTCCCCCCTCGGTTCGTGGAGCCCGCAAGCTGGCGGCGCCCACGAGGGAGTGGCTCGAGGGGCCAGCCTTTTGCGAAGGGCGCAAAACGGGGCTCGGATCGGGATAAATCGCTCCACCCACCCACCCTCTGTTCTCCTCGCCCAGCCTTCTGAGAAGGCGAAATACCCTCTGTTCTCCTCCCACCTCCTCTTGCCTCTTCTCCTCGCTCGAGGGGCCAGCCTTCTGAGAAGGCGCAAAACAGGGCTCGGATCGGGATAAATCGCTCCAGAGCGTTCCCGAGCGCTCTCAGAGCGTTCCGGAACGCTCTGGAGCGGCCGCGGCGCCCAATACATCCTCCAAACCCGCCGATTCTCAGAGATTTCGAGTTATCCCGATCCGATTTTGTCCCGATCTTCGCGTCGTTCTTAGGCGGGGCAATGTCTAAGAGGGCAGGGGCCCTCTTAGGAGCCCGCCCGGCTTCGTCGAAGCATCCAGGCCCCCCTTCTCTGGAAGCCTCTGGAGGCCTCGGGGGGACCTCCGGGGATCGTCGTCGTCGTCGTCGTCGTCTTCGTCGTCGTCGTCGTGGTCGCTATCGTGAGCGCAAAGGCCACCTTCATCTCCAGGTGCCAAGCCGCGACCACCTCGACGGCCCTCCCCACCAGCCAGCTCTACAAGCGGTTCGCTGTGCCACCACTGCGTCCACAGGAGAAAGGCCAGCACGGCCAGCCCTGGCATCAGACAACCTGAGCTCCAACTCCATCACAATAGAGGAACAACAAAACGGCGTAGCACATAAGCTTCCCGAGGTCCGCGCTTGTTTCTTGGGTCGAAGCCTCCGACTATTTTCAAATATTCTTCGCTACAAGCTTGTGCATTGGAAGCGGATGGGAGGTTCTGCTCTGGATCGGCACCGACAGAAGCAGTCAGGAGGGGAAAGTTGGGTCAGTTCGATATCGGGTGACCATCAAGAGAAGATGGTGTCCCGAACCGACAGCGGCCGCTGTTGGACAGGCGACTTTCTGCCTCAAGCAGACAACGTCCGCGGCGACGCCGACAGCGAGTCCTGTTCAAAATGTGCAGGAACTGCTGCCGGTTTTCGTCCCCACTCTCTCTCTGTATCGATTTCTCCCGTACCGGAGTGATGACCCATCGCACCTCGTTGGAAACAAAGGCTACAGCGACGGTCCCCCGAGGCACTGTGCAACTTCTAGGGTTTTTCTCTGCATGCCGGCACGCATGTGATCAGCACTTTCTATATGTGTGCCACTGCGCCGTCAGGGCACGGCTTCGTTCGTCCGTTCGTTCGTTCCACCTCAGCCCTCCAGCTGGCGCCAACTCTCGCCAGGCAGCGCATCCAGGCAGGGCTGCTCAGCGAGCAAGCCTTACGTCGGGCCTGTCCCCCTACAGGGGGATGTTCGACGAAAAATCAAAATACCCCAGAAATACCCCCAAAAAGGCCAAAAATACGAATATAAAAAAGTCCCCAGACTACTTTTGGACTATGTCTTGACTTTTTTTTTGGGGGGGGGGGGCATTTTTTGCTTTTCGTCGAAAATCCCCCCTGTAGGGGGACAGGCCCGAGGCCCAGACCCCCTCGCGTTGTGAAACAACATCTCGACGGGAGGAGGGGGAGGAGGAGGAGGAGGAGGAGGAGGAGGAGGAGGAGGGAGGAGGAGGAGGAGGAGGAGGAGGAGGAGGAGGGACACGCACGCCGCTGCTGCGGGCCTTTTTTTTCACGCCGCTCTCAGCACCCGGCGTCACGGCGTCGCGTCCTGCCGCCGGGTGCGCGCCGACGGCGGCGCGGCGTGCCTCGAGAGCGGCGGCACGCGGCCGCCCTTTTCCCCCCTTCAGCTCCTCCTCCTCCTCCTCCTCCTCCTCTCCTCCTCGCCCTCCCTCGCCCTCCCCTCGCCCTCCTCGCCCTCCTCGCCCTGCTCGCCCTTCTCCTCCTCCTCCTCCTCCTCCTCCTCCTCGCCCTCCTCGCCCTCCTCGCCCTCCCTCGCCCTCCTCGCCCTCGCCCCTCCTCCTCCCCTCCTCCTCCTCGCCCTCCTCCCTCGCCCTCTCCTCCTCCCTCCTCGCCCTCCTCGCCCTCCTCGCCCTCCTCCTCCTCCTCCTCCTCCTCCTCCTCCTCGCCCTCCTCGCCCTCCGTCTTCCCCTTCCTCGGGCGAAGGAACGTCTGCAGAAACGTCATCTTTCGACGGTCCGCGCGGAATTTTCTTGCATCTGCGCTGGACCACCATGGCGGCGCCTCTGGCGCCGCGCTCCAGGAAGGGGGTCCAGCGCAGATCCCAGAAATCCACACGGACCGTCAACAGTTTGAATTCATGCAATGCATTCTTCTTCGATTCCTGGCAACGATAAGGGGGACTGGCTCGGGGAACACCGACCTAGAATCGGCGATGCATCGCCGATAGATCGGCGATAGGCCCCTGGTAGGGGATCCGAACGTTCGCCCGCGGATTGTGCTGTCAGGCCCCTATCGGCTATGAATGGGCGAGTCGAGGTCGATGCTCCCGCCCCTGAGCGTATTCCCCCATAACGTTGCCCCAGATTCCTTCTCCGGCTCCTCCTCCTCCTCCTCCTCCTCCTCCTCCTCCTCCTCCATCTGGAATGCGGCAAGGACGCTCGCAGGCGGCAAGATATTTCAACCAGATGACGCCCCAGCCGTCATGCGGCCACCCGAAGGAGGGGGGGCCATCGTTTTGCCCTGAGGACACTGTCCACCCACGCGGAAAAAAACTTCTCCTCGATCTCCTTCTGCTCATCGTCTTCCTCCCCCTTGTCCTCCTCCTTCTCCCTCCTCGTTTTCCTCCTCCTCCTCCTTCACCTCCTCCTCCTCCTCCTCCTCCTCCTCCTTCTCGAGGATAAAGGCGGCAGCAGCAGCAAGCGGGAAAAACGCAACGGTGCAGTCTGCAGCAGCGCCGCCCTGCACGGTGTCGCATGGCGCGGCGCGCAGGAGGTAATTACTCGGAATCGGGCCCGCTCCAAAGGCTGCAACTATAACGGAAGCGCGCTCCGAGCCCTCCTGTCAAAAGTAGACGGCGCAGCGTGCGCGCAAAAACTGTACTGTACACGCGGCAGAGAGTCTCGACAACTCCGGGCGTGAACCGCGCCCCTCCTGCGCTGTTGTCTGATGTGCTTGCACGGGCGAGGCACGAGCGCCGACGCGCATGAAGTCGATGCGGCGCGTCCCTGCCTTGATGACGTCGACGCCTGGTCTCTCCCGCCGCGCGGACCGTTCAACCTTGCCCGCTCCTCCTCCTCCTCCTCCTCCTCCTCCTCCTCCTCCTTCTCCTCCTCCTCCTCCTCCTCCTCCTCCTCCTCCTCCTCCTCCTCCTCCTCCCTCCTCCTCCTGGGACTCGGGGCCCTGAGCGGGCCTCGGGAGGCGCTCAGCCCTGGAATGCCCGCGCAGCGTCGCCGCCGCGTCAGGGCGGCGCGAGCCTGCCAGTGCGCGAGGCTTCGAGCTTTCTGTACCAGAGGCTCCGATCAACGGGGCACCATTGGAAGGAGAGGGAGGAGGAGGAGGGAGGAGGAGGAGGAGGAGGAGGAGGAGGAGGAGGAGGAGGAGGAGGAGGAGGAGGAGAGAGGAGGAGGAGGAGGAGGAGGAGGAGGAGGAGGAGGAGGAGGAGGAGGAGGAGGAGGAGGAGGAGGAGGAGGAGGAGGAGGAAGGGAGGAGGAAGGGAGGAGGAGGAGGAAGGGAGGAGGAAGAAGAAGCAGAAGAAAACGAACAATCATAATAACTATAATAATCCGCCGGCCCCCTTGTGGGGCCACCAGGCTGTAGGCCGAAGGTTCGCAGTTTCCTGTGCCAGTTGCAGCTTCCAGTTTCCACTGTTACAGTTCTGCTTCTTGCTGCTTACTGTTCCTTGTTGACTTCTTGCTGCTAACTGTTCCTTGTTGATGGACCGCGCGAGGGGGGGAGGCCCAAACGGACATTTTTACCACGGCCAAAAAGAGTTCCCAGAATTTCTGGGGGGGTAAAAGCTGACACCCCTCACGCAGATCGGCGGAGCCAGGGCGCAACAAACACAGAGGATTTGCCACATTTCTGACATTCGGTGGCACCCCTCACGCAGATCGGCGGGGTCAGGGTCCAGAAACACATGAGATTTGCCACATTTCTAAAATTTGCTGGCACCCCACACGCAGATCGGCGGGGTCAGGGTCCACAAACTCAAGGGATTGCCACATTTCTCAAATTTCATGGCACCCCTCACGCAGATCGGCGGGGTCAGGGTCCAAAAACAAATGGGATTTGCTACATTTCTGACATTCGGTGGCGCCCCTCACGCAGATCGGCGGGGTCAGGGTGCAAAAACACATGGGAGACTGCTTTTCAAACTGTGGCTATCGCACGAGCTCCGCGCACATTCGCCTTACAAGTTCATACAAGCTTTCATGGATGGAGGGCGGTTCCTTTTCAAAATGTGGCTCTCGCCTGAGCACCGCGCACATTCGTTTTAATACAAATTCGAGAGAGCTTCTTTTCAAGATGTGGTGCTCGCCTGAGCGCCGCGCACATTCGTCTCAAACGTTTGTAAAAGTTTCGCAATTCGAGGGCAGGCCATTTTCAACATGTACCGCTCGCCTGAGCGACGCGCACATTCGTCGTAAGAGATAACAGCAAATTCAAGGGTTCTCATGGTTGACGTCCGAGAACCTGTGTGTTGGCACGATGTAGGACTGCCAGGGCGCAACAATCAGATATACTCACGGTGCTGAAATGCCAAGAACGGCGTTCTTGCACGATTCAGTACTGCCAGGACCCAACAGTAACGTTGATTCGCGGCGTTGAGGTCCCAGAAATGGTGTTTTGGCACGGTTCAAGATTTTCAAACAATTCCCCCAGTCAAAATAAACCATTGTAGGGGCCTGTGAAAAGGGAACTTGGAGTGAGGGTTTACTGCAACATCATTGGTGAGCCTTGGGTTTTCACTGGTCCTCCTCATCCTCCTCCTCCTTGTCCTCTTCCTCCTCCTCCTCCTTTTCCTTCTTCCCTCGCCTCACCCTCCTCCTCGTTCCCCCTCGTCCCCCCTCCTGCTCCTCCTGCTCCTCCTGCTCCTCCTGCTCCTCCTCCTCCTCCTCCTCCTCCTCCTCCTCCTCCTCCCCCTGCAAGGCCACTGCCGGCGACGACCGGGCCCTCGAGCTGAGGCCCGGCAGCCCTCCCGTCCGGCTCGGCAGGACCACGCCTGCTTCCAGAGTTAGGGGCGGCTTGGGGGCCTGCTCTGAATATTTCGGCTATCGGCCACAAGAAACCTCCGCAAGAAACCCAACCCTGAAATACGCGATCTGTTCAGTGAAAATCCGCATGTGTCCATCGAAAATCGTCAAGATATGATTGGGGGCCCATCAAAATCCAAGAAACCCAGGGCACCCTGGCAAAATCCAACTGGTTTCTTGGCACGCGCCCCCACTGTACGCGCAAGAGCGACCCTGGGTAAGAGTGACCTATGGTGCGCGGCTTTTGCGGGGCCGCGGGGGGACCAAACACCGGCGCGCCAGACGCTACTATCGCATCGCGTTCGGCGGTCAAGGGGACCCAATGGGCCGCACCAAAGGCCACTCCGGCGAAGGGTCACTCTTACGTCTAGTCGAATATTGTTGGCGGCGCGCACAAAGGGGTGGAGGGAGGGGGGGCGGCCTCTTAGAAGCAGGGACGCTTCTAAGAAGCCTTCCCCCCTCCCCCCACCCCCTCTGCGCGTGGCTGAGGATGGGCACCAGCAAAGACAGTCAGGAAGGAGAAAGGGGGCAAATTCGTCATTCAACAACCCCTCCGGAGAAGGCAGCCCAGACGGGACCGGGCACGGAATCTGAGTAGAATAACGCCTCCCCACATTTTCAACGGCTGAAACCACTGATGCCCCACCTCGGCCCCCCCAGCCGGCTCCAGCTTCGAGAGGACGTAGGAAGAGGAATATACCAAATTGGCATATGAAGCAGAAACTTTGAGAGTACTTTGCGCGGCGCCCGCGTTGAACGCGCAGTTTTTGCGGCGCCGACCGTGTGGGCAGGGTGTCCCGCTGCAGGGGTCGTTCGGCCGTCCGCGCCAGGGCGCCCAACGCCGCAAAAGAAAATGCGCTGGAACGCAAACTCTGCCATTTTTTGGTCACCCCTGAGCCGCCCCGAGGTCCGCGCGAGTTTCTTGGGTCGGCGCTTCTAGGAGATCTGCGCGGACCTCCGAAAGCGCGTGGTTATAAAGCAAACTGTTCTTGGTCGAGGACGCCAGCTGTACAGTCGGGGCGTTGACCTAAGGAACCCTAAAGAGGCACGAGGCCCCTTTTCTCCATGAGTTAAACTTCGACTGCATATCGAAAACCAACGGAAAACCTCAGGCAAGCTGCGAAATAATCAAGGAACACGGAGCCCCTCCCCAACCAAAAGGGTTCCTTCTTCAGGGCCCCGACTGTAGACATGCACCGAACCTTCGCCTCCTGGGCCCTCAGAGCGTCATCTCGCGCAGAGGGCCCCAAAACGGGCCAAGAGGGACACGCGGCAGGATGCGCCGAAGGCCAATCGATCCGCCGCCCCTGTGGTCTTGCCACAAGGGTGCCTGGCGTGCTAAACTTACTACCTACCAGACCACCCCAACCCAACCCGAAGACCCAAATTTCGGGTTGGGGGGGGGGTATGGGTTTCATACGTGTTTTTTCGATGCTCCCCGACCCCCCCCCACTGGAAATGGAGGGCAACTGGAGGCCTTCGGGTTGGGTTGGGGTGGTTTGGTAGGTGGTGATAAACTTCAGGTGGTTTGGGTTTTTTTAGAACTCCCCCTGGGGCTTCGGCGCAGCGCGCCAGCCACCCAGGCCATGCACATGTCAGTTCCTCTCTCGCCCAAGTGTGGACTCCAAGATTCGGGGATGGACAAACCCCCCTTTAGTAAAACGTGGTTTAGTGAAAACGACCTGAGGCCCAAACCTGGCGGGCGCAAACCTGGAAAATAACGGCCACGGCGCCCTCTCGAGAACCGAAAACGGACAATTCACTAATCGACGTGTTACTGTTGGGGGTTCTGTCCACCCCCGAAAGATGCTTCCGAGATGGCCCAAATGGCCCAAGATGGCCTCCAAGCTCGCCCAAGATGGCCTCCAAGACGGCCCAAGAGGGTCCAAGATGTCTCCAAGTCCGCCCAAGAAGTCACCAAGACAGCCCAAGATGGCTCCAAGACGGCCCAAGGGGCTCCCACGAGGCCTCCAAGACGGCCCAAGAGGCTTGCAAAATGGCCTCCAGGAAGGCCCGAAGAGGCCATGTTCATTGCGTTGGTTTGCAAGCGCTGACCGTGCAGCGCGGTTTCTGTGGGTTTGGCACGCCTCCGAGCAGGTCCAGGAGGACTCCAAGAGGACATACAGAAAGGCGAGAGGGAGCCAAAAACATAAATGTCCCTTAGTTGCTTAAAGGCTTTTGGCGTCTGCTCCTTGTCGGCCTGCCGACGGCCTGAGACGGCCCGAGACGTCACCCAAGATCGCCCCAAGAGCGACCAAGAGGCCTGCAAGATGGCCCCATGACGGACCAAGAGACCACCAAGACGGCCCCAAGAGGACCCAAAGACCACCCAAGAGGCCTCGAAGATTCACAAAATGGCCTCCAAGGCCGCCAACATGACACAATATGACCCAAGAGAGCCCAAAATGGCCGCAAGATGTCTCCAAGACGGCCAAACATGCACCCACGACGACCTAAACGTACGTCAAGATATCCCAAGGGGCTCCCAAGAGGCATCCAAGACGGCCCAGGAGGCCTGCAAGAGGACATACACGAAGGCCAGAAGAGGCCAGCATCATTTATTTGCACTACTAGTTACTGGGTGTTTGACAGATTTTGGCATTTACTCCTTGTTGATCTTCCGACGGCACAAGACGGCCCGTGACGTCCCCAAATAGCGCCCCAAGAGCGACCAAGAGGCCTCCAAGATGGCCTCATGACGGCCCAAGAGACCACCACGACATCACTCCCGGCATACACTTGTGGAACCGACTACGCAGGAAAAGCAACGACAACAAGAACCAATCTTCAAGGGCAACCACCCCTTGAAAATAACAACGACATCTCGGCTAAACCGGCAACCCGCCGCCTACGACGTTTTGGCAACGGCCGAAACTCGATATTATTAACCGCGAGGTATATCTTGACAAGAAAAACTCAAGACAAAGAGCAAAGCCAAAGGTTTTTTTGTATCGACAGAACGTACACGAAAAAACGTCTTCTCTGAGAGCAGAGGAATGCATTTGCGATGCAGGGACACTTTATTCAAACATCATAAACCTGTGATATGGAAACTTTAAAATGTTCGAACAGATCCACTCTGCATTAATTTCAACGCGCACGCATCTGGTTTCAAACACGCTCCTTTCTAACGTCCTTCTGCGCGTTCGAATGGTCATCGCGCGAATAGGAATTATAACATACGCCTTCACTCAATGCGACCCTGGCTCGGATCTCAAAACTTACACTGGTTTGCGCGGTTCGGCTCGTCACAGAGCCCAGAGAAACTCGAAACACACTCCGCAAAAATTCCGCACAAAACAAACAAACTGCGAAACAATCCGCACTTACACTGCGAAACTCAAATCAAGCAATCCGCACAAGACTCCCGAAGGCACCGCGGGCCGCGAGAGAGGCCAGGGGAGGCCCACCTGCCCGTTCAGGGGGCCACGACCCACAACAGAGGCCCGCCTTGAGGGGTTCGCCGGCGCGCCCACCGCCGTCGTGCAACCGCCGCGCAAAATTTGACAGCGCTGGGCTGCCCTGAGGGGTTGAACGGTGCCCGCCAACAAAAGTCGACAACGAACTCTTGGATCCGACGGTCAGCCCAGTCCCGCAGCGACTGCCAGGACTGATACCACGACGGCCATAAGAGGACCCAGCCCCAAGACGCCCCCAAGACGGCCCCGGAGACTTCCGACGGCCCTGAAGCGCACCAAGAGGGTCCAAGTCGGCCCAGAGAGGCCCCCTAAGACGGCTTCCGACGGCGTCAGACGGGCCAGGAACGCCCTACATAAGACGGCCAAAGAAGCCCCCAAATGCCCCCAAGAGCCCCAAGGAGGCCCCCAGAGTGCCCCAGGAGGCTCCCCGGAGGCATTTCTTCCCCTCTCTTTTCTGTTGTTGCTTCCTCTCCTCCGCTTCTTCTTTCTCATTCTTTCTCCCCCACATGTTCCACGAAAGATTTCCACATCGGCTGGCAGAACGCGGAGTAGGGTAGCTTGGCCGAGCTCTGGCCGCATGTTCGGCCATATAGACGCTTCCAGAAGGCAGGGGACGGCGGTGATTCGTCGTCGGTGTCTTCGATCCGCCGCCCCCCGTTGGCTTGCCACAGGGGTATAGTACAGGGGTGCATGGCGTGCCAGGTGTTAGGTAGTCCCTGGTACTTTTTACCGGTTCCAAGTGGGTCTTCGAACCAACCCGCCAACCACACGGAGAACCGCCGAAAATTTGTTCTCCAGTGGTCGAATCGCCTCCAAGACGGCCCAAGATGGTCTCCAGCACGGCCAAGATGGCCCAATATGGCTTCCAAGACGTTCTCAAGTCGCCTCCAAGATAGCCAATCTAGCCCCAAGACGACGCAAGATGTCCCCCAGAACGCTTAAGAGGCCCACAAGATGCCCCAAGAGGGCTCCCCGAGGACCTCCAGGAGGCCAAGATCATTGATTTGCCAGTTGTTATTCAATGATTTTGGCGTTCTCGCCTTTCCTGGTTTCCGACGCTACAAGACTGCCCCATCGATCCCCATAAGCCCCCAAGATCGCTTCAAAACTGACCAAGAGGCCCTCAAGAGGCCGCAAGACGGCCCAAGAGGGCCCGAAGACGGCCCAATGTCGCCCAAGAGGCCAAGACGGCCTCCTAAGGCCTACAAAAGTGCACCAGTGGACCCGAGAGGCCCCCACGAGATCCCCCAAAGGCCCCAGGAGACCCCCAGAAAGCCCCAGGAGGCCCCCAGGAGGCCCTTTAGAACCCCGCCGAAAGGCTCCCAGAAATCCTCCAGGAGGCCCCTCCTCTTTTTCCTCTTCTTCCTCTTTCTCGTTCTCCCTCCTCTCCTCCGCTTCTCCCTGCCTCTCCCCAAATGTTCCCCCGAGGGGCTCCACGACGGCTGGGGGAACACTCAGTCCGACAGCTTGGCCAGACTCCGGCCAAACGTTCGACCGCATGGGCGTCAAATGACACCTCCTCATCGAGGATGAGGATGAGGAGGAGGATGAGGAGGAGGAGGAGGAGGAGGAGGGGGAGGAGGAGGAGGAGAAGGAGGAGGAGGAGGAGGAGGAGGAGGAGGAGGAGGGAGGAGGAGGAGGAGGAGGGAGGATGAGGAGGAGGAGGAGGAGGAGGAGGAGGAGGAGCAACGCCAGCTGCAGACGTGCACGGATCCCTCGGCTGCACGCGGCAGCGGCCCCGGGCCAGAGTGGCCCCTGGGGCGCAGCTCGCCCAGCGCTGCATGCGACGCGACGGTGCAGCGTCCTGCGCGCTCGGCGCCCCCCGCGCCCCCCGAGAGCCAGGGGCACCGGAGGCCGCTCCCGCGAGGGGCCACCCCTGCGCAGGGCCGGCCGACCAGGACGAGATCCCCTCTCCTGGGACTGAAGCTCTCGCGCGGGGGTCGGAGCTCTCGCGCAGGGGGCCTGGGCTTCTGCGCGGGGGCCGGAAGCCTGGAGCGCGGAATGGGCGTTCTGTGCGCGTCGGGAGCGGCAAAGAGGGGGGTGACGAAGAGGGGGGGGAGATATTGTGGCGCGAGGCAAGTGCTGCGCACATCTCGCAGGGCTACGCACGCGCGAACGCAGTCGGATATCATCAAAGCCCGCTGACCGCGGGGACGGCGGGCCCGGGTGACGGGACGGGGTGGGGCCCTGGAGGGGTGGAGGGCGGGCGTTCCGAAGAGCGAGCCGGCGCGAGCACGGGGGATGCTTCCAAGGCATGGGCCCAGCCCTGACCTCCTCGCGTCGCCCTGACCTCATCGCGTCGTGCGTCGTGAAGAGAACACGACAGAAGGCTTCTGTCGGCGGTGGAAAAACCTCCCTTTAGTAAACCTCCCCTTCGTGAAAGCGGCCTTGGACAGAAACCGACGGACCTGGACCCGCAAAAACGACGGCCGCGCCGCCCTCTCGCGAACCGAAAACGGCCAATTCCTTAATCGACGTGTCAGGGTAGGAGGTCTGTCCACCCCCGATTCTGGGGTCACTTTCGGCCTCCGATCGGGTGCACGCAAGAGTGACGTTGGTGCACGGCGCATGGGGGGCGCGAGGGGGCCAAACCCAAGCGCGCAAGCCGCTGCTAATCGCATCGCGCTCAGCAATCGAGGGGACCCCAGTCAGCCCGTACCAGAGATCACTCCGGCGAAGGTTCATCCTTACGGGTGGTCGATCGGTCCGAGGCCCCCGACTGCGGATCCGCCGTGCTTTGGGCGACTTCGCGAGTGGGGCGGAAATCCCCGCCCTGCCTTTCCAAACCATCGACGTCGGCAAATCCGCAGTCAGCATCTGTTCGGGCCCCCAGGCTTCCGCGACCTTACGCAGTGTTTTCTTCTCCAAGCTCCGGCCGCGACCGCGGTTGTGGCTGCAGCTGCGACTGTGGCTGAGAGGGGGGAGCATCACGAATTTGTCGCGGTGGTTTCCTTTCCAGTCGCGGCTCGAGCCGTGGCTGCGGCAGCTGGGGGGAACATATCGTGATTTTTTCGTGCAGGCCGCGTGGACCGCTCCAGAAGCCCTGAGCGCCAACGTGCGGACGTCTCGCTGTTGCGTCCGCCGACCTGCCGCCGGCGGACCCGCCGCCATCCCACCCGCCGCCGTTTTGCTTCCGCTGGCCTTCCGCTGAGGGCGAGATGCGGCGAAGGCGAGGCCCGCAGCGCACGGCTTCCCAGCCTGGCCTGGAGGGCGTGCCTGCGACTCTGGGACGGAGGGATCGGCTGGGCACGGATCGGTGCCGGTATATGGCACTGGCGTCCCCCAGCGATACTCGGTGCAGAGCGCAGGGTCATCGGCCGCCGCGCCAACCGCGCCGCAGACCTTTCCCTGCGAATTGAAGTCGATGGGGAGGGAGAGGAAGAGGAGAAAGGGTTAGGTCGGGCATGTCCCCCTACAGACGGACTTTGGAGGACAAATGCAAAACAGTCAAACAATCCGGCAGCCCCCTCAGGAGGCGCAAGGCTGCGAAGGTGTGTGCGGTCTGCTGTCATGTGCTATGTGTTGTCATTTGTTGTTTGGCCTTTTGTCACTCCAGTCCTACTTCCTGCCTCCTGTTTACTGTCTGCTAAGGGGCCCCGCCGCGCCACCAAACAGCCAACGGGGGTGGGGTGAACCTCAAATCCTGGCTGCTCTGGGTCACCCCAGGATTCTCATGGTAACACCAGGTCGACACTCTGGGAAAAAGCATTCACCACAATTTCCACAGCGGCGACAAAACATATAAAGCACTATGCAGAGGGGTCCCCAAATCTGGCGGCCAACGGCCCGGACCCTAAGCAAGTGTTACCAACAAAGTGGCGGCGGCCGCGCGCAAAAGCCAAGGCGACAATATAAAAACGACAGCGGCGGATTCTGCGCACACTGTATGCACTACGTGACATTAACATGGAAAGATACCAGTGTAGACAATGTATGTAGACGTACTTAAGTCGCGCGCATGCATGCGTGCATTCGTATAACACACATATATACATATATATATATATATATATAATATATATATTATATAAAATATATAAAAAAAATGACTAGAATATCGTCGGACCGCGAAATACGAGCCTGAATCCGACGCCGCAATCCAACTCAAAATTCTTTCCGTTCTCTTATCCGAAAATGCCCGCAATCGCGTCCAACATCAAACGAAACCTTTAACCCACGAGCGCGCTTCCAAAACATGACAACACATATGTCTAAGAAATGTCTGGAAATATCCGGCTTCGCCGTCGCTTACCTCCTAAACCCGAACTCCCCATGCAACCGCGACAAATTACACAACCTAGCCCTGCTTAAAATTTCCCCCCGGGCTCGATCCCCCCACACAGAGGAAATAATCGCGCAACCGCGATGACTTGCACAGCCTAACTTTGTTTTGAAGGGAGCAAGCGCGACCGCGACGAGGCCTCTGGCCCACGACCCAGGCGCGGCAGCGGGGTGGGTTGAAGACAATCATACAAACATCCGATGCAAACTCGCGGCGGCAGCGGTGGTCCCGAAGACTAGGTGCACTTTGCAAAAGACTGATTCGGCGACGGCGGCCCTCAGAGACTGGGTGGCGCAGAGGCTTCGTGGACCTGGTGATCTCATGGTGACGCCACCGCGCGGCCAGAACGGCCCGAGAGGCCTCCAAGATTGCCCGAAGAGGCTCCGAAGAGAGCCTCAGGAGCCCAAGACGGCCCCAGATGGCCCCAAGATGTCCCACGATGGCCCAATATGCTGCCAAGACGGCCCATGAGGCCTGCCCTACGAAGCAAAATTCAATGATTTCCTTAACGTTTTTGAAGGTTTTTGGCCTTCTCGCCTTTTCGGCTTTCCGACGCTCCGAGACGGACCAAGAGGGGTTCCCGAGATCGCCCCACGACGGCCCTAGGAGCTCCCATGACGGCCCACGAGGCCCCCAAGACGGCAGAAGAGGACTGTCCAAGAGGCGCCCCAGACGGCCCAAAAGGGCCCTAAGATAGTCCCAAGGAGGCCCAAGAGGGAGTCCACGAACCGAAAACTCGTTCCGCCCCGAGAGGGCCGCAGGAGGCCCCAAGAAGGTCCCAAGAGGCCCCAAGAGGCCCCCAAGGGGCCCCCAGGAGGGCCCCAAGGAGACCCCAAAGGGACCCAAAGGGACCCAAAATATGCCCCAAGAGGTTCCAAAATGGCTTCCAAGAAACTCCAACAATGACCCGCAGAGGCTGCCGAGAAGCACCCACGGCGCTATCCACGCAGCCGCACGCACTAGATAGGGGGGTCGGCGGCAGAGGGCGAAGCCCTCAAGATCCGGCCGCTCCCGCCCTGCGGTGTGGGCCGTGCGAGACCTCTCTGACAGAGTGTTTGGCACAGTCTTTGGCCCCCTTCTCCAGTGCCTGGTCAAAACCTCCTGAAAGTCCCTCCGAGGGGGCCCCACTCTGCCGCCGGCCCCCCCCCCCCCTCAAGGTCTCAAACGGCCCGGGGACGACCCAAGGGCGCCCCAAGCCGGTCCTAGAGAGTCCCGAGCAGTCCAAGAGAGCCTCCAGACGGCTCCAGATCGCTCCAAGACGCCAAAGATGGCCTCCAGACGGCCCAAGACGCCTCCAAGACGGCCCAAGAGGCCTCCAAGAGCACCCCCAAGAGAGCCCCAACATGCAAAAATCATTGTTTTTTTCAATGGTTTTTGAAGGATTTTCGCGTTCTCGCCATTTCGGCTTACCCACGCTCCACGACGGCCCAAGAGGCCCCCACGATCGCGCCACGTCACGACTTTCGATGCTGCGCGATTTTCGGCAAACTCCCAGGGAGCGGCCGGTGATGCGCCGCCGGCGTCCTCGATCCGGCCGCTCCCGCCCGGCGGGTTGGGCCGTGCGAGACCTCTCTGACACAGTGTCTGGCGCAGTCTTTGGCCCCCTTCTCCAGTGCCTGGTCAAAAACCTCCTGAAAGTCCTTCCGAGGGGACTCTGCCGCCGGCCCCCCCCCCCCTCAAGGTCTCAAACGGCCCGGGGACGACCCAAGGGCGCCCCAAGCCGGTCCAAGAGTCCCGAGCAGTCCAAGAGAGCCTCCAGACGGTTCCAGATCGCTCGAAGACGCCCAAGATGGCCTCCAGACGGCCCAAGACGCCTCCAAGACGGCCCAAGAGGGCTCCAAGAGCACCCCCAAGACAGCCCCGAGAAGCAAAAATCATTGACTTTTCAATGGTTTTTCAAGGATTTACACATTCACGCCATTTCGGCTTACCCACGCTCCAAGACGGCCCCAATAGGCCCCCACGATCGCCCCAGGACGGCCCAACAAGCCCCCAAGAGGGCTCCAAGACGGCGCAAGAAGGCCCCAAGACGGCCCAAGAGGCCCCCGGGACGGCCCAAGAGAGGCCCCAGGACGGCCCCAAGAGGGCGCTCAGAAGGGGAACCCGAATGAACATTTTGAGCCTTCGGTCCCAAGAGGCCCCCAGGGGGCTCTTAGAGGCCCCCAGGAGGCCCCCAAGAGGCTCCAAGAGAGCCCCCAAAGGCCCCAAGAGGCCCCCACGAGGCTCACAAGAAGCCCCCAGGAGGCCCTCAAGAGGCCCTAAACTCCCCTGCAGAGGCCCCGAGAGCCCTCTCGAGACCCCAAGAAGCGTCCACGAGGACTCCGACCCAAAACCCAAGCAGGGTGGCGGGATGGGCCGCGCCACGTCACGACTTTCGATGCTGCGCGATTTTCGGCAAACTCCCAGGGAGCGGCCGGTGATGCGCCGCCGGCGTCCTCGATCCGGCCGCTCCCGCCCGGCGGGTTGGGCCGTGCGAGACCTCTCTGACACAGTGTCTGGCGCAGTCTTTGACCCCCTTCTCCAGTGCCTGGTCAAAAACCTCCTGAAAGTCCTTCCGAGGGGGCCCCACTCTGCCGCCGGCCCCCCCCCCCCTCAAGCTCTCAAACGGCCCGGGGACGACCCAAGGGCGCCCCAAACCGGTCCAAGAGTCCCGAGCAGTCCAAGAGAGCCTCCAGACGGTTCCAGATCGCTCGAAGACGCCCAAGATGGCCTCCAGACGGCCCAAGACGCCTCCAAGACGGCCCAAGAGGGCTCCAAGAGCACCCCCAAGACAGCCCCGAGAAGCAAAAATCATTGACTTTTCAATGGTTTTTCAAGGATTTACACATTCACGCCATTTCGGCTTACCCACGCTCCAAGACGGCCCAATAGGCCCCCAAGATCGCCCCAGGACGGCCCAACAGGCCCCCAAGACGGCCCCAAGACGGCCCAAGAGGGCCCCAAGACCGCCCAAGAGGCCCCCGGGACGGCCCAAGAGGGGCCCCAGGATGGCCCCAAGAGGAGGCCCCGAAGGGGTACCCGAATGAACATTTCGAGCTTTCGGCTCAAGAGGCCCCCAGGAGGCCCTAAGAGGCCCCCTGAGTTGAGAATAGGAATGGGATGGAGAGAAGCGCTTTTTCCAGTACGTGTGAAACAAAGCTTGATTCGCTGACTCGAGCCTAATGGTTACGGAAAAGCTGGCCGCAACGCGCGCGTAGCAGAGATCACCTGAATGCTGGGCTGGTCTGAAATCTACCTTTCGACTCTGGTACTTCTCGTTTGGTGCTTGTAAGCTCCACAGACACCACCGTTCCTTGGAAAATGTTGCTGCCCTCTCTGCTACCAGAGCAAAGCAAAGGAAACGGCCTCCAACACTCAGAAAACGGAAGCTCCAGCCGTCACTCAGAAATGTCTCTGCCTCTTCTTCGGCTGCATTGCCGGGTTGCTCCACGGAGCCCTCGTGGGGCACTCGTTGCCCCAGTGGCCCCACTGGCCGCACACGCGGCACTGGCCCGGCTCCAGCGCCCCGTTCGGCTTCGAGCCGTCGTTCGGCGCAGGGCGCTTCGGCGCGGCGCGCGTGGCCCACGGGGGCGCCGTCGGGCCAGGCACGGCCTTCGGCGCTGCCCTCGGCCCTGGGAGCGGCACCGATCCGCTCTTGACCTGGCCGGCCTTCGGCGCAGCAGTCGGGCCAAGAGGGCCCAACCAGAGTGGGTCCGATCCACTCTCGGCGTCTACGCGCCTTGGCTGCGCCGGCCGACACTTAGGCTGAGTCCCCACAAACTCCGGAACGTGCTCCTGCTTGGCTTCTGCCTTTGCACGGAGGCGGTCGTACAGCTCCCGGAGGTAGGTGTCGCGCTCGCCCTTCTTGTCGTCGACGTCGTGGTCGTACTTCCGCTTCTCCTCTTCGTGCCTCCAGTGTCTGACGCGGTTGTCGGCTGGCTCGCCGCTCTCCGTGTCGGAGTCGCACTCGCTCTTGAGGTCCGCATCGTGCACGTGCTTA